AATGCTCTCCAACATTACAGTGTTGGGTCCGGGGGCTGTGACTGGAGTACCAATAGTGCATTCCAACAAGGAAAGGGTTGTTTTCTGCTGCAGGTATCTAAAATATATCAAAGAGAAGAGAGACTAGTGAGTTAATCACAGAGACAAATTAGAGAAGGCCAGACAATCTGCTGCCAAGGCTGAAATGACCTATATAGGTGTCAGAACATGTGAAGAGATAGAATGAAAGTTGGAGTCAGTTCCTAAAAAATCTCCCACCTTTGTTTTTTTCCCATTGGTTTTTGAAAAGGAAAAACAATAGGGAGTAAATTATGGAATAGAGGCTAAAGGCAGGAGCAATGATCTTTATAGTGCTTGGCCAAATCACTGCATTGGTTTAGTTTAAGAAAAATTAGTCTTATTAGCCTTGGTCTTGGTTCTCTTTGAGTAGTCAGCAAAAAGTGGTGGTGAATTAGAGATTCAGTGATATCCAAGTCCTCTGGCTGGTCAAGAAAGGGAGGAAGAAAGATTCTAACTCTGGGCTAAGAAATCCTTCTCAGGCTTTAGCTACCTTGTGGAGATATACATTCACCTTCCTGGCCCTACTGTTGCAAGGTGAGCAGAATATTGCATTATCTTGACAATAGTTTCATCTCAGGGGCTTCTTGTCCAGGCATTCTTTTCTGAATACCATGCTCTGACTGCCTATAGTAGATACATGGTTTATCAATTTAATTCATTAAACAAATATTTACTGAGCAACTACTATGTGCCTGGCATTTTTCAAAGCACTGGGGATATAGTGATGAATAAGTCAAAGTTTCTGCCAATAATGGAATGACATTATGTTTGTCCTCTTTCACAGTATTGAATTTGACATTTACTGTTAACCTGCTTGTAAATTCTACATTTGTTTATCATAGCCTGACTCTCATAATTGTGGGGCAGGCACAGGATATACCAGCAACTAGTTTTGGTATTGAAAGGAGAGAGGCGAGCATCAAAAGCTCCCAAGTTTGTTTTGGGTGTGTATTACACAGGACTCCTCTACCCTTTCTCTAATTCCTGTGAATGTCTGATTTTTTCCTTCTCTGCCTTCCTTTGGAGTATGGACGTAGGCGTACATATTTAGCTTTTTATTCTTAACATTATAATGGGCTAAATGTATAAAAGACTTTAAAGAGAACTATATATTATCCCTGTTTCCAGCTGATAATGATTGGTTTATGAGAGAGAGTGAGCGAGAGAGTGTGCTGTTGAGGGCTCTGGTACATTAAGTGTTCAACCTTAATCAATGTACAGGAATTAGCCATCTAAACATAGATAGCCTGTACATGGCACTTTCTGGTACCTTCTTCTCTCTTCTAGTATGATGGTTATGTGCTAAGCTGCTGTCGTATTGACCAGGAAGCTTCTGGAAGGAAAGGTACTTTGATGAGTGAAAGGCTCAACTGGTCTGGGATGACTTTGTGATTGCACCGTTTATTGCATGCTGAGGCCCTGGCAATGTTTTAAGGAAATCAGAGGATGGAGAGTTCTGAAGTGACATAGTTATGGCTTTGGCACTCTGAGCTCCTAGCACCTTTCTATTTCCTAAGACACTAGATTATAGCTCTACAAGTACCTTCCTTCTTTCCAACCTCCTTCCCTCCCCGCAATAATTACTAAGAGCCTACTTTGTATTATCTATGCAGCTAGGCACTAAAGATACAGAGATGAATGAGCCACAGTACTTGCCCTCAAGGAGCTCATAGTCTACTGGAGGAGACAACTTCCTAAACAGATCATTCCAGTATAGAGTGACAAGTGAGCTCTCCTAGAATCCACAAGTTTCTATAGGACAAACAGAAGAAATGCAGAACTCTGCTTGGGTAGGATGTTGAATTTCATGGTCCAATTAGCTACAGAATATAAAAGAATATGTAAAATAGACATTGTTGGATTAGCAGTTGAGGAGATAGGATTTATATTCCTATATGCATCCTATTCTATAAGAAATCTTTGATGCATCTAACCCCGGATAAGTATGTATTGTTTATTGAATTGTGCCCTTCCCCCTAAAAAACGTTCAAGTCCTAATCCCTGGTACCTGTGATTGTGACCTAATTTGAAATAGAGTCTTTACAGATGTAATTAATTTAAGATGAAGTAATAATGGATTTGAGATTACCCTAATCCAATGCCCAGTGTCCTTATAAGAAGAGGGAAATTTGGACAGACAAAGAAAAACACCATGTAATAAGAGAGGCAGACTAGAGTAATGCATCTACAAGTCAAGGAATGCCTGCAATCACCAGAAGCTAAGGAGAGGCAAAGAAGGATCCTCCCCTAGAGCCTTCGGAGAGAGAGAGAGCATAGTCCTGCCAACACATTAACTTTGGACTTCAAGTCCAGAACTTTGAGAGAATGAGTTTCTGTTGTTCTAATTCGCCCAGTTTGTGGTCATTTGTTATGGCAATTCTAGGGAACTAATGCCATTTTTGATACTGGGAAGTAGAGTCCTGCTGTGATAAATACTAAAAATATAGAGGTAGCTTTGGAATTGGGTGGTGAATAAAGCCTGGAAGAATTTTGAGGCACATGATAGGAAAAGCCTAGGTCGCCTTGAATAGAATGTTACTAGAAATATCAACATTAGAGGTGCTTCTGGTATGGTCTCAGACAACTGATGAATATATTATATGAAACTAGAGGAAAGGTAATCCTTTTTATAAAGTAGCAAAGAACTTAGGTGAATTTTATTCTACTATTACTGTTACTATTCCAAGTTTACTGTAGATTTTGTAAGCAATAAACTTGGATATTTCACTGAGGAGATTTCCAAGCAAAGTATGGAAGATGCAGCTTAGTTTCCCTTTGTTGCCGATAGTAAAGTGCAAGAGAAAAGATATTTTGAGGAAGGAACTTGGGCTAGTATGCTCAAGTTGCCATACCAAAATACCATAAACTGGGTGGCTAAAACAACAAAAATTTATTTTCTCATAGTTTGGAGGCTGGAAGTTCAAGACCAAGGTGCTGGCTGATCCAGTTCCTGGTGAGAGCTCTCTTCCTGGCTTGCAGATGGCTACATTCTTGTTGTGCACTCACACTTTCCTCAGTGCATGTGAGGATGTGGGGAAGCTTAATCTATTTCTCCTTCTTTTCTTATAACATCACCAATCCTGTGAGATTAAGACTCCACTCATGACCTCATTTAATCTTAATTACCTCCTCAAATCCCTATCTCCAAATATAGTCACATTGGGGGCTAGAGCTTCAAAATATGAATGGGGGGGGACACAATTCAGTACATAGCAGAACTATTAATCAAAAAGCCACTAGAACTTGAAGATTTGGGAAATTATCAGTATATCCATACTGTAGAACTTGAGAAAATGTGCTCTGGAGGGAGCACTAAGGGTGTGACTGGGCAAACTCTTGCTGGTGGGATTAGGTGTGTGATACATGGGTTCAATAACCTCTCTCAGCAGATACACTGCCAGCTTGGACTGAAGGGGACATACATAGGACAAAATGAAGGCTGTGAGACTTCAGGGATTCTACAGCAGAAAATTAGCTGATAGAGCTACTCAGCTGTGAAAATGTGTTATCCTTCAAGAAAATAGAAATATAACTCCAAGGGGCTCAGAGGTCAGCAGGGATGCTGAGAGTGGCTCAGAGGCTAGAGATGCTGCCCATGCCACAACAGAACTAGAGAGTGCAGGCCTGAGGGTGCGGTCACTGCCTTCGTTAGTTCTAGAGGGTGGGGGCACCTCCTTGGTTAGAGAGGGGAGCTGCCCACTTCTGTGGATTGAAAGGGTGTGGGCAGAGGAAAGAACACCAAGCCACCAGAGAATTATTCTGAGGCCTGGAAACATAATGGAATTTGCTCTGCTGGCTTGCCAACTTGCTTTAGACCAGCAACCCTTTTATTCCTTCAATTTTCTCTGTTTCAGAATGGGAATGTCTATCCTATACCTGTCCAAACATTGTATTTTGGAGGCAAACAATTTGTTTTCTAGGTCTCACAAGTCCATGAAGAGAGAATAATTTTTCCCTGAGATGGACCATACTAAAAGTCTCACCCATACCTAATTTAGATTATATATAAGATGAGATTTTGAACTAAGTTAATGCTGGAGTGGGTTAAGTCTTTTGGGGATGTCAGGATGGGGTGGATGTATTTTGCATGTAGGAAGGACATGAATTTTGGGATCCAGAGGGTGGACTATTGTGGGTTGAATTGTATTCCCCCCAAAATATGTTCAAATCCTAACCCCTTATACCTGTGAATGTGACCTTATTTGGAAATAGGGTCTTTGCAGATGTAATCAATTTACAATGAGATCATACTAGATTAGAAGGGGCCCTAAGCTGGTATTATTATAAGGAGAGGAAATTTCACACACAGATACACACAGAGATTAGAGTGATGTGTCTACAAACCAAGGAACATCAAGGAATGCCTGAAGTCACCACAAGCTAAATGAGGCAAAGAAGGAACCTCCCTTAGAGCTTTCAGAGAGAGTATGGCTCTGCTAATACCTTGACTTTGAACTTCTAGAGTCCAGAACTGTGAGAAAATAAGTTTCTGTTATTTTAATTCACCCTGTTTGTAGTCATTTGTTATAACAGTCCTAGGAAACTAATACAGTATGTCCTTATAGGCCTTTCTAGTAACTGGCACAGATTAAAAATCCATTTGAACACAGTTGAAAAACTGTTGCATATATACACATCACTATTACAGAATGTTCAAATCTCTCAGGTTGCCATTGATCGGGTCACCATATCATCCAAATCAGGACTTTCAACAGTGAGATGGGGAGCTCTCAGTAATTATGCTGGGACAACAAGTGTTCATCCTGAGCAAACCACTAGCCATGAAGATACTGTACATGAGATAGAAAGTAATTTAGCCTTTGGATATCCTCTTTGACCCAATGGTTGTTCAAGACTGTATTGTTTAGTTTCTATGTCTTTGTGAATTTTCCCATTTTTTGCTGTTATTGATTTCTATTTCATTCCACTATGGTCAGAAGAGATACTTTGAATGCTGTCCATGTTTTTAAAATCTGTTAAGGCTTGTTTTGTGACCTAATATGTTATCTATCCTAAAGGCTGTTCCTTGTGCCCTTGAGAATAATGTGTCTTCTGCTGCCATTGGGTGGAAATTTCTATATATGTCACTAAGGTCCCTTTGATCAATAGTGTTATTCAAGTCAGATGTTTCTTTATTGATTTTTCTCTGCATGCTCTATACATTATTATAAGTGGAGTAATGAAGTCCTCTATTATTATTATATTGCTGTCAATTTCTGCCTTCAGATCTTTCATTATCTGTTTTATATATTTAGGTACTCTGGTGTTGGGTGTATATATATTTAAATTATTATATTTTGCTGTTGAATTAACCCATTTATTACTGTATAATGTCCTCCTTTTTCTCTAGAGACAGTTTTAGACTTAAAGTCTATTTCATCTGATATAAGTATAGCCACCCATACTTTCTTTTGGTTGCTATTTGCATGAGATAGCTTTTCTATCCCTTCACTTTCAGTCTACAGTATATTTAATTTTAAAATCAGTCTCTTATAGACAGCATATTTCTGGGTCTTGATTTTTACCCATTCAGTCACTCTAGGGCTGTTGGAGTCCTCCTGCTCTCCCTTTCCCTTGTGGGAGGAGATCAGGCCAAGGGCATTCCTTTTGGCCCCAAGCTTGGCCAGACCGGGGGATTGGGGCTATGTAGGTAAACTGCTTACTATGCTTTTCTATGTGGCGATTCTGTCTCTGTGTTCCTTAGAGTTTCTGCAGCTTCTTTATTGTACTTTGAAACTCTCAGAGCTATTTTGGTTGGCATGTAGTTGTTCATTTGTTGTTTTGTGGGGGAGGGAATAAGCATTGGGACCTCCTAGTCTGACATCTTGCTGATATCACTATGAAAAGTTAATTTCCTAAACATTCTCAGCCGTTGTTTAAACAGTTTTCTTTAAATACTTCTAATGACATAGAGCTTTCTACCTCAAGAGGCAGCTGATGCCATTCTTGCAGGTCACACTGAATGTTAGAAAGTTATTCTACTAGGTCAAAGACTAAGAAAAAACTTTCTAAAACTTAGAGCATTGAATGGACTCTTTTGAAAGAATCTTGGTTTCCCATCTTTGGAAGCATTCAAACAGAATCTACATGACTTGATATTTAGATGCTTTAGAATTTGTAATCTGTAGTCTAGATTACTTTTAAGGTCCATTTCTTTTCCCATAGTCAATGGTTCCATGACAATTCATTATTAGAGAAAGCTAACCTTTTAATCTAGTCTTCCACGCAGTTCCTTACTTTCATTTTTTTCTTTTTTATTCTTCTTTAAATCTCCCAGGCTCAAACCTTTCATATGCCTGTGACTTCTCTTTCTCTTTTGCCTGTCTCATATATTTAGGTTCACCCCCAACCCCCAGCTCGGTATCTACTATTTGTCTTTCCTTTCTATCTTCATTCTGGAGCTTAACTTTGCTTTGCCTGTTTTAATCTATAACCTCCTCTATGATCTTCTGGCCTCCAGTTTATCCCTCATTTAATCCAACTTATATTTCTTAAGTATCCCTTTGATAAACTCTCTTCCCTTTCTAATCCATCCTTAAACTGAACTTTGATCATGTTGCAGTTCTTCCCCACTCTTTATCCTGGCGTTGATAATCCTTCACAATCAGACTAAACCTACCTCTGTAGATACACTTATTGAGTCACTTTCCCAAACTCTTCTGGTCAAATAGAGTTCCCTTTCTACTCCTCAAAATAGTTCTGTTTTTCTATTACTCAGCTTTTGCTTATGCCAAGTCCCCTGGTCAGGACTTTCGCCTATCCCTAATCCCCAGCCACCAATAAAATCCTATTCATCTTTCAGTCAGTCTCAAATCTCTCCTCTATAAACTCTCCCCAGAGGACACCAGTCCATACTTATCTCTTCCTCCCTTGAGCTCCCATACCACTTTAATGTCTGTTTTATTCATCTGGCAATCAATTGTGCATGGCCTCGTAACATCTCTGACTATTTCTTTTGAGTATATTTTGTCTCTTCAACTACCTAAAAAGATCACTGAGGCCAGGAGTGGCCACACCTTCTTTTAAACTCTCTATGGAATAGAACTAGGCACCTAGTAGGGGCTCACTTCTTAATGTGTATTGACTAGTTTTCATTAGGCTATCCAATTACTTAGTAGTAACTTTAATAGACCACTAAGTTCATGATTAATCTTTCTTCAGTCCAAACTAGGCATTGGTGGTGACAGAGGATAGAACAAACCATTGAAGATAAGGTATATGTGAGAGAAAGCATATTTTACTCTTTCAGCCTCAGGCAAGATGAATTGCTAAGATGCTGGTGGTGAGACATTTCACTACCAGCTAAAAGTGTTCCTTAATGGATTTAGGTCCCTAGAGCAGCTCCACAGAGGTTGTGATTACAGCCTGAAACTCAACTCATCCAAGAGAGTAAACATGCAGATTATTATTATTTTTTTCCTTTTTAGTTCGTGTCGGATAGTCAACATCAAGATGTTTAATTCAATTAAGTCAGGAATTGTACATTAATATCCTTATGGCTTTCTCTAGAAGTTTTCGCATTCTTGGACTAGTAGTTTAAATTCAAAATATCCTATGTGACTTTTTTTTTGCCAAATTGAAAATGAGTAATTCATGAGAAAGTGTTCCAATTTGGATAGAGATAAGCTGAGGGAAGAAAAGGGATTGATTTACAAGGGTGAGGGTGTAAGAGAAGCATGTAAATCACAACTTTTTGTAGCTACATCTAATGCTGTGCTATAGTGGCCTCATAGTGGGTGGGCAAGAGGGACAGGATGTACTTCTCCATTCCGGAAAGGAAGAAGAAAATAAAAAAGCAGTGAAATGCCAAGTGCTAAGTCATGCAAAGACCATAATCAGATTCTAAGCAAAGAATCTCTCAGTTAAACATATATAATGTGGGCCCAGGAGAGACCTTAAAGATATGTGGAGAGGTACCTAGGCCCCAGTTCAGTCAACTTGTCATTTACTCACAGCCATGAGTAGCAGAATTTATAGTTATAAAACTAACAGGTCAAAGCCTGAGAAGTCTTAGGGGAGTGAAGACAGATGGTTTTTCTCCATGGTATTGTTTTTACTTCTAAAATCCATTATTATCAAGCCGCAGTCTACGCTGCTTCATCTCAAATGTCTATGAAAATCCTCTACCCTTTGCTAGTTTTTAAGACATCAGGTTCTTCTTAAGGGTGGATTCATGTTCCCCTTTATCTCCAAGACCTTCAGAGCAGAATTTTGCTTTAGGATGAACCATATATGGTTCCCTTTCTAAAGTTTGGCTTCAAGATTACCCTCAGATTCATTTCTTCATTCAAAAAATATTTACTGAGCCTCGGCTATGTGCCAGACACTGCTCTAAGTATATAAATGACAAAAATCCCTCCCCTCTAAAAACATACGTAACTTCTAACTGTGGTAGGTTTGCAGAAGAGTGGGCTGAGGGCATAGCCCAGAGTTTGAATGATGGCACCACTTGTGGCAGGGAGTAGTGGCCAGGAGTTTGGTATTGCTAAAGAAACTAAGCTTTAAGGAAGACTGCTCCTTGCTCTTCTCTCTACATTTCTTTTGTGGTGGACAATAAACAGAGAGGCAGAACTGCATAGTGGTTAAGGACATAGGCTTTGGAGTCACACAGCCTGGGTCCAAATCCTGGCTTTGCTACTGAATAGTTATTTCATCTTGGTCTGGTTCCTTCTTTTTATGAGCCTTAGTTTCCTTAGCTGTTACTGTAGTCACTCAGCAAACTCAGTCAAGGCTGCTGATTGCAGTTTTACTAACATAAGAACATCTGAATTAACTGTTCACATACATCTTGAGTGCCTCATCCTTTGGGCATATAGTGACATCTACATGTCAAATGAATGTGTACAGAGGTAGCTAAACCACATACTTACCAAGGCCTCATTCTAAGTGAATTAATCCTGTTTACAAATAGTTTTAAATGGGCTTCTTAATGATATCTATCTATAATTCCCGACCAGATGGTTTCTACTTCTATCTTATTATTTCTCTATGTGAAAGGTGGCTTAACTAATGCAGTCAATTATGTGTTTACCCCTGAGAGTTGTGTACATTCTCTACTATTTCCCTTACCTTACGAATTTCTCCCTGTTGAACAGTTTTTATGACATTAATCCATTCTTCCATGTCTTTCCGATTAGGTGCAGCCAGGATAACTTTTCGTTGTGGTGTGATCACCTAAACGAAAAAGTCATATTATTAGCTGATTCCCATTCCACAAATTTTCCCCCAAACAGAGCCTGTAAATTCTCCAAAGACCAAAACAGGTCTACCAAGCATAACTGAAGCCACTTTTTAAATACAAAGCAGAAGTTCCAGAGCCACTTGAGGCTCCTTAGATACCTACCCAAAATAATGATAATACTAATAAATAACACTTCAATAACATTTACTATGTTCCAGGCACTGTTCTATTGCAATACATGTATATTATTTATTTCAATCTTCATTGCAACCCCATGATATAGCCGCCCCGCCCCCGCCACTTCATTAGGAAAACCAAGGCAAAGGGAGTTAAATGACTTTCCCAGGGCCACTTGGCAGGTAAAAAAAATAAGCTAGAATTGAAATCCAGAGTCTTTGGCTCTGGATCACATGCTTTCAAACACTAAGCCGTATATTCATCTATTACTCAAATAAGGTTGCCTGAAAATCCTACTCACTCACTGCTGCTCTGTCTGCTTGAAAATGTTATATGCTTCATCAGGGTGTGCCTCTTTCTGTTTGGGAGGAGAGTTAAAATGGAGTGATAAATCTAGAAATCCAGTTTCTTTTTTTCTTATAGTCAGGGACAACATGAAGAGAATTTTACCATTGTTTCTCTTAATCCTGCTCCATGCAGGAACCGTGGCAGGAATAATGAAAAAGCCACGCTGAGGGTCCAACAGAGGTAGACCATGGTTAGGACTTGGTCTCTTTCCAGAGGGCAGGAGGGAGCATGGATAGCTACAGCATCAGTCATTGCTTCAGTGGCCAAACTTTCCTTTACAACTAGCTTCCCAAATCTTAGAACTGGAGCTCACCATACCAACAAACATTTTCTCTCTTCTTTTGCAAGTAGCATATCATGATTCTCTGATATATGGAAATAGGAACTAGTAGGAATTATGAAAACAGCTACTCCTTTGGTCTAAACTCATTCTTATGTGGGGCTGATGAAGAGTGCCTCTGTGTTTTTATAGGTTAAGGGGCAACCTAGCCCTTGGTATTTCTTTGTAAAGACCAAAATCATTAGCCTGTGTGCTCATAGCCCAAAGGTTAAGCTTTTTGGGAATGGATCAACAGAACCCTCAGCTTTACCCTGGGTCAGTATGATGTAATGAGAAAGAAATGAGAGTAGGGTTTCCCTCTTCTTTAGCTGCTTCCTCTCAAGGGAGAATAGAATGTGGACCAGCCACAGAAGCAGTATTGGGCTTGTAGCTCTTTAGTCTGCTAAGTATAACCCTCCACCTGCCTGAAGAGGAACCCCAGTATATATAACCCACCACTAAGGTTGGGAGAAGACAGTTCTGGGAGAAGGTGGGTAGGAAAATTCCTGAGCCAATGGATTTGTTATTTTTCAGTGAGCTTTCTGGTCTGGATTTACTTGAATGACCAAAGCCTTATGAAATTTCAGCAGTGCCAAGCCCTTAAATACTTCCTTAGAAATCCCCTGCTTTCTTTGAGGTGTTCTCATCAGTAATCTTAGCATAGAGTAGCTTTCACTTTGGATTTAGGTTCTTATCTGCTTCATCAAAAGAGAAAATATCATGTAGCTCTACTATCCTGACAATTTCTACAACATATTTGCAGGCTTTTGAAAGGCTCCGAGTGATTCTCTTCCAAATCACCTTCATCAGGAGAATTGATTTTTGTAATAGTCACTCTCCACCAACCCTGAAATCAGCTCAGCTTTATAACTGGCTGATAATAGGAAACAGGGCCATCACCTTTGTCCCCCCTATCAGTGGGTTGGTGAATGTGTTTACATGAATAATCTTCAGCACCTATTTGCAATGCTATTTTAAGTGGATTTCTGTACACACTTTGGGATCAAAGGAGACTTGAGAAACCTGAAATCCAAAGAGACAACTCCTCTCCCCAGCTAGTCCCCAAATATGCTCTTCAGCATTCCCAATCTTACTTACACAAAAACTGTGAGAAATGTTTCGACAGCTAGTTTCTGCTAAGGCGACTTGAGACAGATCAATGGTTTCAAAGCGTGCAAACTGGAAAGATATAAGAGAGTGGAAGAAAAGGAACTGTCTGGTTAATAAGACAAAGAGACACTAAAAAGTAAACATACACACATATGCACGTGTACAATAATAGGCATTTTTGACAGTCATAATGCAATCATTGTTTTGCCTTGAGTGCTGGGATTTATTTAGCATCATGATTTTTGTCAATATATCATGTGAAAAACAAACAAACAAAAAAACAAACCAAACTAAACCAAAACACAACTCTTCCCAAAACTTTGATGTGGATTTATTGGACGGCTTGGGTAATTCAGAATTGTTAAAAACTAAAGGTTTATGCTGGAGAAGATAATGGAATGTGGTCTAGCTAGGGACCTAGGAGAGCAGATAGGAGTTATTAGCTCCTATTTTACTAGCCAGCAGCCCTTGACTTTGTTGCTAGTCCCACCCAGTTTGAGGCCTGTGTCTCAGTATATACCAGCTATAGTAAGTAACATCCACTCAGCAGCAGGAGATCAGTACTATGGATACAGACAGGGCTGGCTTCATTGGTATGCAACCTGTGTAGTCATACAGGGCCTCGTGTTCAAAGGGTCCCCACACTTGGTTTAACGCTCTGCTGTTATAATCTTGAAATTCTTATCATTTAACTTGTGTTTTATAAGTGAAGTCCAATGGGACAATGGATCATGAACATAAGCAGGAGATATGCACAATATGCATGTCCACCCAATATCCTGTCACTCCATTTGTATTTGTGATGCCCATGAGCATAGAATTCCATGGACCCATAATATATGGGAGTCCAGCAAGACTCAAAGCAAATACACTGTAAACATGTTACATCTATGATTAAGTAGGTGAGCTGACAGCCTTGAGAGGGCACATTTTCTATCGGAACCAGAATTTTCTTCAAACAGAGCAATGATGTTCTAAGAAACATGAATAACCAACGAACCCTATTATATTCTTTACTCATGTTACTTCCCTATGTTAGCCAATCATTTGTGCTAAAAATGATAACGTTGAAGGAAAAGGGAAGATAGGGAAACCCATTGTTCCTTTTCCTTTCAGAGAGTGTTGGTAGAATGTATATGTATTTAGATGTGAAATAAAAACAGTTGAGCTAGTTTTTTGCAGTTTTGCATTTTAGGTACTGGTGAGAACAAAATATATATGTGTGCATGATCCACTAAATACAAATTATATAATGTTGGTGGTTCTTCATATGAGTTAAATACTTTTGTATTTGTTTTTAAACCTGGCATTGACAATACACAAATGGATTGCAAAATTGCTAATAATTCAATAAGTTTTTTTCTTTTTTAGAATGACATTTAATAACTACTAAAAGATTCTCTGACTTAAACATCTTTTTAAAAAGATGCCCTGACAAATTACTGCTTTACATTTTAGTATCTTTACTCGCATTTCTATTTGCTTTTTAAATAAGGGACCCTGCATTTTTATTTTCTACTGGGTCCCACAAATTATGTCATTGGTTCTGGGTATAGAAGCTAATTGAGGAATCTATGAAAGGAAAGGAAAATAAGAAGGGGAAGGGAGAGAAAAGTGTCTTCTATTTGGCCCAAAAGGACAAGTTAAAGGAAGCATAGAAGGTTTCAACTTTCGCCTTAATCTTTGCTAATATATCTTTCTTTACCTATTAGCCCATTTCCTCATAAAACATTTTCTGGCACCCACCCACTAACCCAATTGACTAATATACATATAATAGGATATATATCCTATATATTCTGTATATTCTCTTACCGCAGGATGGTGTGCAAAGCAGAGCCTTTGTCCTCGAACAAGAAAATATCTAAGCTTCCATCTCTTGAAGGAGTTACAGTTCTTCAGCAGAGGTCCTTCTTTCAGTATTTTCTGAAAGATAGAAGCATTGAGTAGAGCAATTTGCAAGACCATATCACTTGTCCTCTCAGTTGAGGAGATCAGATACCTGGAAGGCTCTTTCTCTGTCACATATCTGAGAAATGATCTGAGAGCCAGGAAAGAACTCAAGGAAGTTAGTTCAATCAGAAAAGGCATTGGTTACTCTTGGATAACACATTCAGGATGATATAGGCTATAAGTTTCTTAGGATACATGTCCTAAGAACTATGGAGAACATCTCCATTGGTGGTAGGGGATGGGGAGGAGGGACATTAACACGTAAATGTAAGAACAGCAAGCCTAGGAAAGAACAATGGTAGGGGAAGAGACTGTTAAGTAAAGGCAGATTTTCTGGAAGTGTCAAGATTGTAGCTCTAGGCAGGGCCTTCCTATAAGCTCTTTTAGAGTGTTCTTTTTTAGAATATTAAATTGAATCACATCCCTTCCCTGCTCACAAGCCTCCAATAGCTTCCCAACATTTTTAGAACCAAATCCAAAGTCTTTACCATGGCCTTCAAGGGATCTGTGGTCTGGTGAGAGAATAAAAAGGGCACCAAAAAGAACTGCCTTCTGATTACTTTCTTGACATATGTCTGACAGTGATTTTTCAGTTACTTGTTGAACAGACTGATTCTAATCAAGCGTAGAGTCTACTTACCATTTTTACCATAGAGGAAGTTTTCAGTTACATTTTTAGGTTACAAACCAACATGCAAGACTGCCATTTAGGAAAAGTACTCACATTCATCAAGGTGGAACCAAACTCATACTGAATGGACAAAGAGCCAGAATTAGTTTAAATCATCAAATCAAGGCTCTACCATGAATTCCATCTATCATCTAAATTATTTATTTATTTATTTATTTATTTATTTTTAGGTGAGGTGACCCTTGGTTGACCTCACAGATTGCAAGGATCTTGTCAGCTTACAATCCCTTATTTTTTCATTTTTTTGAATGCCTACAGCACCTGGTCTTCCTACGTGGTCTCCCATCCAAGTAGTAACCAGGCCCGACCCTGCTTAGCTTCTAGGATCAGACGGGATCGGGCTTGTTCAGGGTGGCATGGCCGTAGACTCTGTCATCTAAATTAGAATTCACCATTGGTAGTTGTGGAAGCGTTTTTTTTGCTCCACCTAGTATTTTACAAAGTTTTTAATTAGTTGATATTATTTAAAAGGTAGATTTCATATTAAAATCCAAGTTTCGTGTTTCTTTAAAATAATCAGAACCTTGGTAACACTGGACCTATATTCTCACAAAGCACCCATCTACTGGAACAAAGTAGCAGCTGTCCCCTTCAGATGGGACACCTGATTCCAGCAGGTGTTTGAGTTTGAGACCCAATCTAAACAATCTTTTGCTACTCCCAATTCTACAAAATATATGTGCATCTATTACACCCTATATTCAATTCTCTAACCAATAATATAGTACTAATAGACAGAGCCTCTGTATGTCAAGTCAGTTAATGAGCAATCTGTGTTTACCTGAATCCTCTTGTTAACTTTTGGGAGTTTCAAGATATTGTACCATCCTTGAGATGCTTACAAAAGAATGATGCCAAGGAGTCAAGACAAGAGAACAATAAGATCTTATGGGAAGAGGGAAGGTGGTAGAGAGAGTGAGAAATTACATTTAAATCATTAAAACTGAGTCATCAATGAGAAAAACAAGTCTTGTTTAAGCATTGTGATTACATCACTCTTTACTTTCGCTGGTCAGGTGGCCTATGTTATATACTCTCAATGATAGTATTTGGTTTTGTCTATCCTAACCGTCTCACCTCCATGCTAAGTCTTCATGATACTTGGGCAGTCATATTTATCCCTTTCTGCTAAAGACTTAATTTCAAAATTTTAACTACTCCACCTTGGTACAACTGAAGCCACACCCATTATTTCTGTCCTTTCCCCAAGTTTTTCTACTCTAACTACTAAATGTTTCTCCAGCTGTTCTTATTCTGTCATATATGGTGTCCCCTGCAATAGCTCATTTTACAATTTTTGGCTAGATATTTTCCCCTTTCCTCCATTTTCAGTTTAATGCTTCCTTCAAATTCAACTGCTTTCTCTTACCCCTGCTGCCATACCTAGTTCTCTTCCTGTTCCTTTCAGGGATAAGATGATAGAGTGAGGTGGTAAGGAGAAAATGGAGGATCTGTCCCTCCAGAAGATTCCCAGAACCCTGGGCCTTCTGGTACCTTCAGAAAATTCTCAGATGCAGGTGATTTGAAATACTGAAATAAGTAGACTTCAGCTTTTTCACCCCAGATACTTCCTTCCATCAACCCTAAGTAATGATCATTCTTTAATTCCCCTTCCTGGTGTTTAAGTAATGTTCTCTTTTTTTTCCCTTACTTGTTCCCTGATAATTAATGATGTCCTGTTATTCATCCAAGGACACAGCAAAACAATTAATTAATCTCTTTGTCTGAAGACACAGCAAATCATCAAAACCTTCAGTTCTCATTCCACGAATCCAGCATTTATCAGAATCAAGAAAAGAAAAAGACTTTGTGGCACATCTGTCATTGGATGAGTGCTTCATTCATATTTTTTTGAGTTCCTACTATGGGCTCCATCTTTTGCTAGGTCCTTTGGGGCAGCTAAATTAGTTGCAGGCACATTCTCTATCTCAAAGGTATGGATAATGGGAGTGAGGTTGAGGGAACGATAATTTATGTAGACAAACACAAGGCTATGTGAGCTCAGAGAACCATTTGAAATAGCCTTGGGGCTTCATGTTCACTGCCCTAAATGTTTACCTTCTGGTTCAAAATGAATAGTTCCACCAAGACAGTGGCTATCCACTCATATACCCTGTCACTGGGTACACCAGCCAAATCAAAATTATTTCCTATCTGTCCCATGAAATTAAACTGGTCACTTTGAATGCACTAGCTTTAAGTGCGTGGCTGTCTCCTCAATGCTGGTTGATAACAGAAGAATCAACAAGACCTAGTAGGGGAAATGGAGAACCCAAGCCCAGTTGCTACCAAGTTCTAGAGATGATTGTTATGATTGAATGCTGACCAGTGTCACCAGGTCATTGCATTTTTAAAGACAAACTGGCTATACAGGCTAAAATTTGTGTGAAGTTTTATAATATTGAAATGTTAGCAACTAATTAATTAAAAAAAGAACTTGTTCAAAGGTCAAATACAACAAGTGTTCAGGCCAAAGTAGGCCCACAGGCAACCAGTCTGCAATTTCTGGCTATAGCTACTGTAATTTTCTCTAGAGGACAAAATGAGCGAGTGGTGGGTATTCCTGGTATCAGAGGAGGTTGCAGTGTATTAATTCAGAGTTTGTGTGAAGAGCCTATACATGTGAGATATATATTACTAAGTTCGGAGCAGATAAATGTTGATGTGACTTATGTATGGTAGGAAGAAAAGTTAGAAGGCCACATAAGAGTTCCTTAAGTTCTAAACACAGGCTTTATATATCTACTTGGAGCTTCTACAAATATTCAAACCTGGATTGGGAGAAGGCAAAGTTCCTGTAGTTCCTTTCCTTTTAAACCCTGTCCCACTTCGGGAGAAACTTATTAACCCTATCACTGTTTCTAAATAAACCATTGTTAATTAAAAAAAAAAAAAAAAAGAGCAGTCCCTGGAAGCCAGTTTGAACAGGCAGAAGCTAAAAATTAATCATTAATCAATGGGTTACCTTAAGTCAATAAAATATGTACATGCAAATGAACCTTTACCTGTTTGGGGCCACTTAACTTAATAACAATATAAGACAAAAATTGGAAGAAATAAACGAACAGATGCATCCTGCAATGGAAGGCATTACCTATCTCATAAGAAGATATACACAGTGATTCCCAGTTCCTGGCCTCTTGCAGGTAACATTATCTCATTGCCCACTTGCCACAACCATGCAGAGTGTTACCTCTAATTTCCAGATGGTAGATCTGAAGCTTGGGCATTTTCTTTGCTTTGCTAAAGGACTCACAATTACAGAATGCCGGTGGGCTCTGTGCTCTTTCCACTCACCACTCTACCCGTGACAAGAAAATTGGGAGTGCCTGATTAATTAGTTATGTACACCACAGAGTGAACACACTACCTCCCCCAAACTTTGTCCTGAAAGACAAGACCACAGATTGCTAAGAATTAAAAGGTGTTCTGTGAACAGCTCTGAATAGAGAGCTATCCCCCACTATCCAAAAATAGAGTGTTCCTATGAGATGTTTGGTAAGGTGAAATGGCGTAAAGCAAAGAAGCAATTACCATTAATTTATATGAAAAAACTTTAAGCATTCCAAGACCTAAAATAGAACTTACTAAATTATATCAAATAACACATAAATCCTAAAATAACACATAATTATGTCCAGTTTTATGCTAAGTGTAACATCCTTATAAGCTCTCTCAGACTTTTCTGATACCTTAGGACACATTTTGCTAATGGATGCACAAAATAAATTGAGATAAAGTGCAGATGCTCACAGACACAGTTCAAAGCTCTGGGACTTAACGCTGAGATGCTCAGTGTAGTTCTCAAGGAAGGAGCTTGGCAGAGCCACTCTTATTGTTCAAAATAACGCTGAATTCTTATTTTTGCTTTTTGCCTTTTTTGGTAAAAGCAAAAATCCTCTTTGGATTTCTTTTGGTTAGCAAAAACAGGCTCTAATGTAGATCTTTTGTAAAAGTGAAGTGTCATAAAGCGAACTTTCAAAAAGGGAGGGGCGGGGGGGACCTGAACTCAGTATTGAAACTGCTAATGAGCTTCCCTCCAGGAGGAAAATGATAATCCAAGGTGGGTGAGAGGGAAGTTCTTTTGTTTGTTTGTTTTTTTCAAAGTGACCAAGATTGACTAGAAGAGTAACAAGAATTCACACGTATAGAGCACTTTGCAATTGATAAAGTGTTTTTACTTTTATTATTGGATACTCTCAGAGGCCCTCTGAAAGGCATCCAGCTCAATTCAGCTCTGTGAAAGACACCCTGAACTTCAGTTTCTTTAGATGGCTTGCCC